AATTGTACATTGTATTTCTTTCTTATTAAGGTTAAATTTTGAATAATGAAAATATGAAACCTGGAAATCATTATCACTAATGTTGAAATTTTGAAGTAGCATAGGATTTTTATAAGTTAAAAAAACAATATGAAGAAAAGTGTATCGTAGTACAAACAAATGTTTGTGGTAACATTGATGTTAAAGCCAAAGCATACAACAAGACAGATAACATGAGCCGAATTTAAAAAAGGAAAATATGTTAAATTTATTGAACACACAAAATGAAAGCAAAATTACACAAATAAGGTACTTTATGTGCTGATAATGGCCAGTAACCTGTATATATGAATAGAAAACATATAATACAAATACAAGTATATAGTGCAAAAAAATGTCTTTTTTACAATAAAGGATATAAAATATCCTGCATGAAGACCCAAGAAAGTCAAATGACATAACAAATATAGAATAGTAATATGCTGGAATAACCAGCAACACCCATGAATGGCAGCACTTTAGGTGATAACCACCTATAAGTATCCACAAGTACAGTGTACAGGAGAGTCGAGCTGGGATCTGCAAGACTAGTGGACTTCTGATAACGCACACACACAACTGTACTGACTTGAGACGACTGCTCACATAACTATTACTTCCTTGCTTATTGTACTGGTTTCTACAATAAACCTGTTACTATTTATCCACCATGTTTGTCCATTCCATATTCCTATTGGCACGGAATATCACAAATAGTTAAAGGCACTACTTCTCTGAATGCTTTTCAAGTACTAAGTACAATATTTGTAGAGACTTTTCTTGGTAACAGTGAAGGAAAAATATCATACAAGTCCTTGAATTTTACTTAAATGAAGGAGCAGCTTTGATTTACATTATTCAGACTAATGTCATCTTTGTCGCCATATTTATTACAACATTTTGGCCATTGTATACTCCGACCTTCTTCAGGTGGTTGGAATGTCAAACTGAACCCTTTATTTCGTTCACTGGAGTAGACTGTTCTAGTTCCACGTGCCATGTCTAATGGATGTCAGTTATCAGTTATCTCCTGTTAATTCCCCTCTCCAAGTTCTCCACTGCCTTAATCAGGTATTGAACTCACACTCTTTGGGTCTTGTCACTGTAAATAGTGTACATAATACCTCATCTCAGAAATACAGACAGAGCCTTGATTTGTTTTAATCCTCGGCTAGCGGTATCAAATTTCTTTTGTCATCGTTCTTGACTGGAATGAGTTGGATTCAACCAGCAACTGTAGATGTCATCGTTTCTCCTCTTCAATTCAATTGAATTTTTTTCTTTTATATACCAAGACAGGCTCCAGATTGTGTCTCAGAATTTGGAATAAAGTCCTCTGATTGGTGCTGGAATAAATCACATGCTGCTATTTTTCCACAAATCAGGAGGTCACAAAATAGTTTTTGAAAGCTAATAGTTTTAAGCTGTAACCCAAAACAGCATCTGCTTTTCCTCAGAAAAGCAGACAATATATGTTCAATCAGCTTAAATTTCTTATAGGAGACATCATCAATAAAGTTGAATTTGATTATTCAACCAATCTAATAGAATTTTATGCAATTAGTACTTTTTACTTGTTTAAATTAACTGAATGACAATTAGGTTTATTTTGGTTTCTTGACTCTCTGAAAAAATGAAAAATATTAATATTAGTAAAATCATAAAAGAATTTTCTAGTACATAATGTATACATTCAAAGTATTTCTTCACTTAATATGGTTCAAGCAATTATCTATTACATTCAACATCTGATTCAAGCAACTATTAAATACAATTATACTGTAATTACAACTTTCTCTGTCAAAATGTACTAAATTTCCAGATATATTTATATGATTTAAGAATTTCTTCAGCTTTATTTTCAAAAATTCTTTTCAAGTACCATATATACTCACGTATCAAGCAACCTTTGAAAACCTCATGTTGAAGCTAATTTGACTACGGTAAATGGATGGCATGATGGAGTAATGGATGGCGGCTCAGATTGAGGAATTGGAGAGCCAAGTTCAAATTCCAGTCAAATCCATTACATTCACTTATGTGCTAATACCCTTGGGAAAGGTATGAATCCTCCCACCAGTTATGGGTAAATAGCAGGACAGACTGGGTTCTATAGCTTTGGATGGCAACTGGTCTACTGCAAAAAATAATGGTAACCTACTGCAGGAAAAAATCTGCCTCGTCAGTCATGTATTGGAAGATACATGATCGCCTAAGCATGTGTCGCACATAACTGACTGAAATGGATATTTAATTTGGTCAACAGCATAGCCAGGGCCAACAGTACATACACTAATTTTATATCTTGTGTATGATGCAACCCCCTTAAAATTAGTTTCAAAATTAGGCCTTAAAAAATTGCATGATACACAAGTATATATGGTAGTTTGAATGATGAAAAATGAGATTAATTTATGCCATTTTATACAGTTAAAAAGAATCTATTTTTTTGGGGATTATTTAGTTTTTCATTTATATGTCCTTGGCATCACATAACTGATCATATGTGGTATATCCATAAAATTTCCAGGTATTTGCTATTGTAAAAAGAAAAGAAAAAACAACTCAGTTCCCTTAGTATCTGTCACACTTAGTATTTCTTCCATTTTTCAAAACAACCTACAATGCTTACTTTTGGGATCCCCATAAGCTGTTTTATCTTTTTCTTAATCTTGTCCATAGCATTCATAAAGCATTTTTGGTTTTGGGAAAAGATATAAGTTACAGTGAACCAAATTTGGACTGTATAGGATTAATAGTCCCTGGGAGATGCAATGTTTTGCAAATAGTTCTACTCAAGACATGAAGAGTTTACTTTTTTTAATCAGTTCACCCCAAGAACGGCAATAATGCCACTAAGACACAAGAGGTTACTGGGAGCGAAAATAAAGAAAAAATTCTAGGAGGAACTGAAAACCCAATTCTAAACAAAGAACAAGGGTTAAACCTCTACTCCTGTTCAAAAGACTGAAGGAGGAGTGTAAACTAGACACTAGGTGAACCTATCTACTCCTACTTGCATGGCTATTGTAAATGCAATGGTTACACAGTTCACCAGCTCACAGAATGATCTCTTGCTGCTGAGTAATCACATGTGTTTATACATTTGAAGTAATTGATTGCTAAGTTACATCAAGGTTATGCAACTGGTTCAAAAGACAATTGCTGAATGCATTTAAGAAACAGCCCTTATACTTTTAAGTTCAAAATTTTTAATTCAGATGTTGTATCCCTCCCTCGCGCTGAGGGTGTCTTAGGTGACAGTGTTGATTCACACATGTTGCATTCTTCCCTCTATCATCTTCCAGCCAAGTAATTGCTAGTTGTTTTGTTCAGAGGTAAAATAAGAACTTCAACAAAAGGCATTTTGACTTATCTATTTTATTAACACGTCAACATGTAGATTTTTAACTAACCAGTGAAGTCTCTCTCTAAGCCCCACTGGGGAGCAAGTTCCCCAAGATACGAAATAACTACATCTGATCTCTTCGATATGTAAAACTTAACTCCCCAAAATAACTTTCTATCTCTCTAATATTCCCAAATTTGGCTCAGCCAATCAAAAATCAAGATCCCTATTTTGTCTACCAGCTGACTGCAAGGTAAGCCTCAGAAGATCTGAGCCAAATACACTGTCACTAAAAAATAATAGTCTGAAACTATTATTTAACATTCCTTACCTAACCATCAAAAAAATTCATTTATTAATTTTATTTCAACTACATTATATTTAACATTCAATTTAAATCATATCTGTAGTGCTTCTTACACAAAGCAGATAAATTCACATTATCATAATTTTTGTTAATATTCCTTTTTGTTTCTATTTCAGCATCTACTTCACCTCCTGATGCACAGATTGAGCCACGCTACCAAAGTGTTTCTGTTGGACAATCAGCCAAATTCACCTGTACCGCAACTGGCAATCCCAAACCAACTATTACCTGGTACAAAGGTGAAACTCAACCTGTTGGAAATGGAGCAGTTGTAAGAGATGGTGTCCTTAGCTTTCCATTGGTAACCAAGTTGCATGAATCTGAGTATTATTGTGTTGCTAAAAATTCAATGGGAACATCTAAAGTTCGTACACTCATGTATGTCACTGGAGGTTAGTAAAAAAAATTTTAGTTTGCTATATTAAAAATTATTTTCTAGTAAATATTTTTGTTTTGTTGTTCATTTTTTGTACAGCAATTTTATTGGTATTTCTCAAGAGCATTTCAGACCTGATCTGTATTGAGTTTTCCTTTTACCTCAACTGTGAATGAATAGCAATTCTCATTCCTCTTTCTTTATTACTTTTGTGTATTTTCAATTGTTGGTGTAGATGTGGTGGTTGCATTTAGCCATTTCAACAATAAAAGGGCATTACCTCAATACTAATCTAGTATACAAGATAAATCAATATATATAATGCAAGTCAAAAGCAAATTGACTATGAGATGCTAACAAAGTAAAAAGATCCCAGAATAGAAATAATGCTCACATACAAAAGGGATACAGTCGAGTGCTTATAGCTGTCTGACTTGAAGGCAGGTAAGCCAAAATATGTGGGAATAAGACCAGGAATTGTTCATTTTTATTAGCTAAGAAGAAATCTTAGCATGCATCAGTAGGATTAGTATATAAATTTAAGGAGAGGAGGTTTTCAGCAGTCATTCGTTAGATTCAAACCAACAATTTTTATTAGTATTTATCAATAGTATTTCAAACCTGATCTGTGTTGAGTCTCCTCTTACCTCAACTGTGATTGGATAGCAATTCTCATTCCTCTTCATTAATTCTGTGTATTTTCAATTGTCTATAAACACATGTAACTTCTTTAATTAAACTTGTTTTACATAAATTATTGGTGTAGAGGAAGCAGGCATGATTAAGCATAAAATTCTCAATGACAATAAGAAGAGGAAGAACAGGGCAAAATAATATGAAAAAAAGACAATGTAAGACAAGGCAAAGCAATTATAAGACAGGAACCGGGTTATGGCCATATCTCATTGAAAACATCAGTTCCTGTATGATCACCAAAGTTGAGCAACATCAAGCTGGGTCAGTATCTAGATGGGTGACCACTTGTGAATACCAGGTGCTGTAAGCTTGGATGTGCAGATGGTGTAATGGATAATGGCTCAGAATTTTTAATTGGAGATTTGAGTTCCAATTCTCATTGTGTTCGTTATATTTAGTTACTTGTGAAAAAATCCTTGAGAAAGACACAAATCTGCTTCTTCTTCCCCCCACCCCACAACTATGGGTTAATTAGTAAAACTTATATCCCTAAACCATTATTATCTCAAAAAAATAATTTTTACAATCTAAAAAAAAATTTTTTTCTAGCTTTAAATAACCTGAAAAATGGTTGATAAACCAGAGAAAATGAATCATTCAATCAGTTAAAGACAGTAAAAAGTTTTCAAAATGAAAACAGTGTTCACACATAAAAGGGATACAGTCAAGTGGTTATAGCCTTCTAGCAAAAAGAAAAAATGTATGGGTAAGACAAAGAATTGCCTATTTTTATTGGCTAGAAAGAAATCCAAACATCATCTCTAGGATTTGTCTATAAATTTGATGGGGGGGGGGAGTTAGCAGTCATTCCCCAAGACTAGAACCAGCAATCAATCCTTTTTTGTTAAACATTTTGCTTCAATCACTCTCAGTAACAATAGTTCAATAAAGTATTTTGTTACAATTATTCATTTTGACTTTTTCTATTTTCATTATCTTTTTCTTTGTTTCATTGTCTAGATTCTCCAACTCTTGAAATCATCATTCGTCAGCAATCAATTGTTACCTCAGTTGGCAAGCGTATTGAACTGGTTTGCTCTGTACAAGAAAATGGACAATTGGTTAACTTGGTTTGGACAAAACAAGATGGACGACTGCCTTCAGGTGAGAGCTAACGGTCAAATTGTATTTAATATGTTGTCAAATTACAAATAGAAATCCTCAGATATTATCACTAAACTATATATTTTATTGAAAAAAATCAAGAATATTGCTTTGTACTCCTTTCCAAATTTTATATGCTCTTTTTTATTTATGCAAGTTATTGATGATAACTTTCCTCTCTTAATTCTACTATTAAAATTTCATGTCTCAAAGTAACTTTGAATATTTCCTTTATATATATATATATATATATATATATATATATATATATAGGAAATATTCTATGCTATCTGAGGAGATATATATATATATATGAAGTAATGGATTTTTTATTTATTAATCTTACAAATTTTATCACTTTGTAAGTTATTTTAGTAGATGCTCTGTTTCTTTATTAAATAGTGTATTTATTTTCATTTACCATTCTTGAATATTCAAGAAATCTTATTAAAGGAAAATATGTGCTCTTCAGCAATTTAGACCAGTAGGTGAAAATAAATAAATATGCTTTTAATAAATAAACAGCATCTGCTCTAAATGTTATTTTAGTGGATACCCATATTTAAGATTTATATATATATATATATATATATATATATATATATATATATATATATATATATATATATATATATAATGTAAATCTATTTAAACTCGATGGATGAAAAAACCTGGATAGCACAATTTTCAAATAAATTGGCATTGGAGGAAAAATGGAAAAAAGAAAGCACCAGAAACCTCCAAACAAGGTGAAAAATCATCCAGTACCTTAAATTTCTAGTACAAAGAAAAAAAAACCAGCAAGTAATAAGTTAAAATGAAGAATGCTCAATACGTTAAGTAGAGCAAAAGTAAAATAAATAAATCCTAATGAGCCACGTACTACCTACCATCAGGGTGAACTGACCATTAGGATTTGTTTACTTTATATATATATATATATAAAATATCTGGCCACTCGTATTTGAGGATACCCATCTACTAGGACGGCTAGCCAGTCCCTATTGCAGAAGCCAACTCTGACACATTTGTGTTTGTTCAACACCCACAGAGCCCAACTGTGGTTTATACTGCAACTATTCTGAGCAAACCTTAGTTACAGTTTCTGGGAGAGAGTGTGTTATCTAGCATGATCAACAATCTGAACATGGCCAGCACACTCAAGCCCTCGATCATGATGACTTGTGACTTTAGGCTAGCACAAGCATCTAAGGGTTCTGTCTACCCAATTTCACTCATAAGGCTTGGGTCAACCGTTGCATGGTTTTCAGGCAATTTCCAAAGGTGATGCACTCTGGGATCACCCTCTCCAGACCAATAACATCAGGAAGTCTCCCGACAAATCGACCATGGTGAGATTCAAACCCATGTCTCATGGTCAGAAAGTGAACGTTCTAACCACTTGGCCACACCCCCATATATATATATATATATACACACACATTAAAGCTATAAAATTAAGTACTTAGAAAATGAATATGACTGAATCTCCAAAATGTTTGTTTTGGTTTTGTCATTAGATAACATTAGCAGCATTTAGTTTTAATGTCTATCAAAAAATTAATTTTCATTTTATCACAATACCTTACATATTTTGCATTATTTACATTACTCGGACTGTTAACATCATCTTCACTGCCATATTCACAATGTTTTGGCTGTTGTAAGCTCCGTCGTTCTTCAGGTGATTGTAATTTCAACTGGGATAGATTGTTCTAGTTCCACATACCATGCCTCTTCCAGATGTCTCAGTTATTTCCCTTTAACTCAACTCACCAAATTTTGGTTAACTACTGCTGGGGCCTGGTATTGATCTCACAACTCTTTGGATCTAGTTACTGGATCTAACATCTTTATCCACTGAGCCATGTGTCCTTGAAATACAAGGTTCAATTCAAAATTCCAATGACCTGAAGAAGGCCGGAGTGTTCAATGAGCGAAATGTTGTGAATATGTCAGTGAAGATGAGAATAACAGTTTGAGTAAAGTAAATAATGCAAGTAATCATAATACCTCATCTCAGAGATATAGAGGCTGACATATCAACAAGCATTTTTAAAAATATTTGTCATAATTGGCACAATTTTGTTTGATTCTAACATTAATGAGTGAAGAAGATAGTTTTTTGAGTATATTATTCTTTTTCTATTTTTATTCTTTTCATTTTCAGAAAATTAAAAATGGTGATTTAGATACCCCCCCCACACACACACACAAAAAAAAAAGAAGAAAAAAAAATGTTCATTTTTATGGAGAAAGTACTGTGAATAAGGAAAAATTTTTAAAAATGGTATACAAAATTTCAGGCTGGAGACTTTCCTTTCAACAATTCTCCACAGTTGGGCAGACCAATTGGAATTAACAGTGACCAAATGAAGACATTTCTATACAAATTAAGGAAAAATATAAATTCAGCAGAAACTACTATTTAAACATACTGAATTTTTTTTATTTTTTAAACAAATTTTGACAGGTTAAGAAAAGTGGTTACTTTACAAAAATATGAAATCTAAGGAATAAAATGAAGCACTATTAACCTTATAAAGACTAGTCTTCTAGAATATGGCTAGATTGCGAGGGAGATTCTACGATTAGCTCATTTCATTTCAAGTACTGCTCACATCTTGTTCAATAACAGTAATCAAAACAAACATCTGAAATTAGTTAAAAACAAAAGGTATAATATTCTATAAGGATTCAATTTTTTAGTGATCAAATAAAAACTGTTGCAGCTTGTTGAAGAAGCAGAAATAGGTAACCTAAAATACAGAACCTTGTTGTTACTGTTGTGAAGGTTAATTCCTTCTCTGCCTCGGAAAATGTATATTGAAGTAAAAAAGAATACATCTGAGTATGGGCAAATACTTGTATAATTTATTTACGTACATACAAAACTGGTAACTTTTATCTGTTATTGTTACTAAGACAAGGAGAGAGAATGGTTAAATTAGACATTGTTGATGACTATTGTTTCTCTCTCAGCACATTGATGTTGACATGAAGGCTGGTTTGTGTCACATCTCTCAGCTTGCCAGTGTTGACATCCAAATTGGTCTGTGTTGAGTTTGTTTTAATTAGAGAATTGTTTGGCTCCGAATTAGTTTGGGTTTTTGGAATGAAAGTGGATCTGATTAGTCAATAAATTGTTTGATTTATTTTGGTTATAGCAGATGTATGTGTGGAGCCTATGTGCAGAAAATGTATTTGCACAGTCTGCTTTGGATCGTCGAGCAGTCAACATCCAGTTTGTGTCAAAAAATGTAAGAGGCACATGCTTTACTAAGAAATTTTCATTCAGTCACCATATTCACTAGATATTATACTTTTATATTCCCATTTATTTAAGTCTTTGCAGAATTCTCTTTTAATTCACCGGAAGACTGTAAAAGGACAGTTTTCTGCTGAGAAAGATAAACATTTCTGAGAGGATAGAATTCTAAATTTGGGTAAAAGACGGCAGAAGGTTGAGAACAAAACAGTCAATATGTCATTCATTAAAGTTAATTACAAAATTAAAAATTGTCTTTTATTTTTACTTGATAATTCTAATGAACTTTTCTTTTTTTTTTTGTTACTCAATATCTCCATTTAATTAATAAACATTACATCTTTTTCAGATATAGTGATGTAATATTTCATAGAAATTTTTTCTCAATTCTTATTGCAGGAGCCACTCAAAGAAATGGTGTCCTTGTTATTGACAATGCTAAACCATCTGACTCCGGTGTGTATATCTGCACTGGTTCCACCCAAACTGGATCCACTGGAACTAACAGAGCAGTTGTTAGAATTAGCACTCAGCCAGTCGGTAAGTATAACCATTTAATGTTTCATTTAAACTTTATTTATACTCAAAGTATGGAAATAAAACAGAAGTATCATCTTTCTAATGCAGGATAGATGTTTATGTGGAAAAAATTCATTAAAACTTAGATGCAATTAACAGCCTCCATATGATCATCAGGTTTGAATAAGATATATTCAAGAGTCTTAAAAATGCTCTCAGAAATTGTGTAAATTTATTTTCAAAGTTTATCTATAAAATTCTGTTGTAAAATTGTGTGTTTCTACTTTGCAATTGATTGAGAGAATTAGCTGTTAACCCTAGAACACTAACCATGGATATATAGTACCCAGCACAAATTTTCCTATTTTTAATTACAATTTTCAGTATCTGATTTTCTTACCTAAATAATGTTTTTCA